CTGTCAGTCATGCAGCTGGGCGGATCCCGGCACAATTGCCGGGATCCGCTTCAGCTGCGGCGTCTCAGTATACCGAGAGCTGTAGCTCGGTCCAGCCGATTGCATATGCACACTGATCTCGAAACAGCTGACTTTCCCTGGCCCCCGGGAGCCTCCTGCTCCCGGCCACCAAGGAGAGAAACCCGCTCTGTCTTTTTTTCTGTATTCTGACACTTTTTTCTGTATTCAGAATAGAGAAAAAAAAAAAGAAATTCCCATTAAAAAGCATTGGGGCATTACTATTGGCTATTTCAATTTGCAATAGCCAATAGTAAACTAGCATTGTACCCGCCCTCTTTTGCAGTTCCCCATCAGGTCCATCAGCAGAGGGCGGGTACAATGCTAGTTTACTATTGGCTATTGCAAATTGAAATAGCCAATAGTAATGTCCCAATGCTTTTGAATGGGAATTTTTTTTTTCTCTATTCTGAGATCGCTCCGTGTCAGAATACAGAAAAAAAGACACAGCGGGGTTTCTCTCCTTGGCGGCCGGGAGCGGGAGGCTCCCAGAACGATTGTATTCAAGGAGCGGGGAAAAGGAGTACCGCAAAACATTTTTAATTTAACAAACTATGTGGAAACAGCTCCTGGGTTTCGAAATTAGTATTCACAAAGCACATTCCCCTTGATATAGAAATCCCATGAAGGGAGCTATCCAATGAGCAAGTAATTCAGTATTAGCTTCAGATATTGAACACATTTTATGTAAACATCAAAACAGTATAAAGGTAAAACACCTAGTACAAGACATTTAAAATTGTTTAAAAACAATGACACAGCCTCCCTATAATGGCCCAAATGATAGGACGGAGCAGTCAGGATTAATGTATCAGCAGAATGACAGGCAGTCACTGGTGTGAGCAACTACACTGTATTACAACAGTGGATACAATTGTATCGATAGGTAACCAAGTTACTCAAGGACACCATTTTTTAGCTAAAATTTTGAAGTTAAAGGAGAACTATGAGATGAGTGATTTCCACTCACCTCATAGTTCTAGCCAACCTGTGACAATGAGACTGTCACAGGTCGGCTCAGTAGATCGGGAGGTGAGCGAACACATACCGGGTTCCCTCACCTCTCGATCCTGTCACGGCTCTCTGCCGTGACAGGGGAGGGGCTGGATTCCCCCCTCCCCGCTCCGATCCGCCAGCACTGACTGGCGAAACGGACGGGGGAGGGGGCGGGTAAATCTGGCTCTGCCTCTAGATAGGCAGAGCCAGCTGTCACTCACGCAGCTGGGCAGATCCCGACTTCCAAGTCGGGATCCGCTCCGGCTGTGGCGTCTCAGTATACCGCGAGCTGTAGCTCGCGGTATACTGAGCTTAGGGTAACGGGAGGATGCTAGTTTGTGTCCTCCCGTTACCCTAAGGAGAACTATGGGGAAAAACACTTACCCCATAGTTCTCCTTTAAGCTACCTTGGTACATTTCACAATCAGGAATTCATTTGTTGAAGAGTTGCACTGTTGTGACTTTTCTTCTATTTAAAATACAGAGTAACAATCAACTTCATCCACCAGGTTTAAAAGCAGCCACCGGGGCCAATCCGCGTATAGTTATTTCTTAGTTGCAGATATTCATGAAAACCCAGCAAATTAATGAAAATGATCTCTATGATGCAATAGAGTGGAGCCCATTTTTTCAATTAATTGGTTAAATAACTGGTAAAAGAATTACAAAGAATCAGCAGACACGTGGTGGATCCTCCTTAAAGTGGAGCAGTCATCTGGTGGGATCTAGTGTTTTTTTGTACTAAACGGGAGGGGAACTGAGGTGAGAATTCTAGCTCCCTGAGATGTAATATAGTCATGTTTTAAATTATGCTTTAGCCTTCTGCTTTGGGAATCAGAATGTGAACTGGTAAGTGGTGCTGTGTGGATCGGTTCTGGGCCAAATGACTGGATTTGTACAGATGTCTAATTTACAGGAAAAAATATTATTTCCTATCTGGTAGTTCGAAAGACACAAAATGCAGTAATGCAACATTCTTTCACATCAATCTGTGTATAAATGCAAAATAATTAGACTCACCACAGCACATTCCAATGCAAAGAATGCATCTCGCAAAAAGTGTCTGGTAAAGTTGTAAAGCTGTAAATGTAACACCGTGGACATTTTTAGTAGCAGGTCCTAGACCTGGAATGTACTGCAACATTTTGCCAGCAAATTGGATTATCAGGACCATGAATGTGAGTTGACTTAAAGAAACACTAAACTCAAGAGTTAAATCTAAAACATGCATTCAAGTTCCCTAACTACAGTAAACTCCCAGTAAACTGTAGTTTCTGGTTGCTTGAGAGTTACAAGTATCTCTCAAGCAACCATCCCTGTGGTGTTCCGCTTCCCCCCGCAGTACCATTCACCTGCGAGCTAGCTTCCACAGCCAACAGGTGAATGTATGCAGCCGGTGAGCAATAGCCAGCCTGCTATTGGCTATAGTAAATTGCAATAGCCAATAGCAGGCTTTCAATTGATGTCACGCCCACTGAGCAGAGAAGTGGCCCTGAGAGAGAAAGTTCTCTCTCAGGTCTGCTCCTCTGCTCAATGGGCAGGAACAATAGCCAGCTTGCTATTAACAATTAAGTATTGCAATTTGAAATAGCCAATAGCAGGCTGGCTTTTGAAACCCTGCCAACCAAACAGAGCAGCAGCCCGAAGAGAGAAAGTTCTCTCTCCGATCCAATCCTCTGCTTGGTGGTCGGGGGTCACGGGAGTGAGCCTGGAGCAGTGCCTACCTTACAAGAAACAGGGACCGTGGGGAACAAAAGTAGCCCCCCTCCAGAAGGAAGGGCAGTGTCACCACCAATTCCGAGATTATTTGAGGATCTACAGCCGAGTGATACACAAATAAGATACGTTTTTGTTAATAGTTAGGGTATTACTCCATCTTTCTCTATATTTATCCATCCATTCATCCATCTATTCCATAACAATTCTTATGTATGTCATCTTATTTTACAGTTATGATGAATAGCTTTTTAGATATTAGCTCCTAGAAATATATGATTGCTGTTACCTGTGAGAATCCATAAATACTTAATATCTGGGCGATAGAAATGGATGTTCCAGAGACAAAATCTCCAATCAGTCCAGCAATGTTTCCCTGTCTCCAGCACGAGTAGTTGGGAACTGTTGTCACTGGACCAGATACAATTTCTATTGTGTTTCTTATAGCTTTATTTGTATCTCCACATGCATCATACAGGTGATATCCCAGAGTGATATTAGGGAGTATGTCCGGGTCATTATTTATGTGTTCTAAAGCATAAAGAAAATAAACCAGGTCCTTGTAACTTCCAGGATAAGGGCTGTGAAAACAATGATATACATTGTAAATCCCAACTGCCCATAACAGTTATTTAACAGCCACAGGAGTGCAACCTAACAATATCCAAAGATACACTACAAACTCGGCGATTATCCCTCAAAGGAAAGTAACTGAAGATGATAGGACTTGGTATGTAGCATGGTTAGACTTAAAGCTTAGGGCCGGGGTAGGCAAACTTCAGCCCTCCAGTTGTGGTGCAACTACGAATCCCATTAGGTTTTGCTAGACCCTGGCAGCTACAGGAATGACTCCCAGAGGTAGATAAATGATGGGATTTGTAGTTTCTTCACAGTTGGAGGGCCGGAGTTTGCCTAACATTGGCTTAAGGCCTTAAAGTCCATTTCTGGTCAAAAGTTTTTTTGTTGTTGTTCTAGGGCAGGGGTGCCCACAAGGTCGATCGCGATCTACCAGTGATCGCTTAGCGATCACTGGTAGATCGTGATGTCCTCTCCTCCCGCCGATTTACATAACTTCCTGTTCATTCAGGAGTTTCTGAATAGGGAGAAGCACTCTGTACAGAGGCTCCTCCCCATTGCTTGGTAGTAACTAGTTTCACATTGAATAGGAAGCCTCTGTGTTTTCCATTCATTTAGAATAGAGGCTGCAGAAAAAGAGATTGAGGACTTTGTGTCCTCAATCTCTTTTTCTATTTTAAAAGGGAAATATCAGGGGGCTGTTTAGACCCCTAATATTTCCCCCGAAGCCCCCTCAAGAGTAACAAAAAAAATTACAATTAAAAATGTTTTAATAAAAAATAAGAAATAATGAAAATAAAATAATAAATAGTAAAAAATAAAGAAAAAATACGTTTTTTTTTCTTGCCTCAGGCACAAAATGAGCTGGCTACGGCTATGCTCCCACGGCTGTCGGCTGAATGTGTCAGACGCTGCAGATGAAAAGGGGCAGGACACCTCTTCCCAAGTGCAACGTCGGCCACACGAGCACAGGACGCTGGAACCTCTAGGGCACACTGGAATGTAAGCCGGCCGACTCCCTGCGTTCAGGTGCCGGAGGGGGTGTGGGGTTGTATTGAAGGCAATGGCACCGCAGCCTTGCCCCCCGCCCACAGTGCGATCACCCACACCCGGAACGCAGGCACATTAGTGCCTGCATTCCAGGCCAGTGCGATCTGCAAAAATAGTGCTCGCAGCATTTTTGTGGATCGCACTGGATTGGAACGCAGGCACTAATGCAGACGATCGCACTGTGGGCGAGGGGCCTGCCTGCAGAGCCTGGCTGCGGTGCCATTGATTTCAAGGCACTGCCACGCTCCCCCTCCTGCCCCTGAATGCAGGTGATCTCAATGAGCTCGTCATTTGAAAAGTAGATCTCCAGACGAAAAATTCTGAACGCCCCTGCTCTAGGGTTTGGAAGGGTCAAAACCTCTTGAAGGGTTTAAAGTAGAGATGTTCAGTTACCAAGTCCGTACTCGGTACAAGTACAAGTACAGATATTTTTCCAGCTCCAGGACTAGACTAGAGAAAAATTCAAAAGTTAGGAGGCAGCTGTCATTCTTAAAGAGCATACGGAGCTCCTGGGATTTTTACATCACCATTTTAATGCATTATTTTTTTTTAACATATATAAGTGATGCACCGATACCATTTTTTCAAGTACAAGTACTGATACTTTTCCAAGTACTCACAGATACGAGTACTGATACATTTCTGTTTATTGTCATGTGACAGTTTTTCTAAAACAATACAGACCAATGATTTCAGGACAGTGCCGGAGCGCCAGAGCCAGGTCCCAGCTACAACCCTGGTAGTTCTCGTGAAAATGCCAAGTAACGGCACTGGTATCTGAACTGGTATCTGGACATCCCTAGTTTAAAGGCTATGAGATTCTTACCCTTTCCTTCTATCCAAAAATAACAGGACTATTCACTAAAGGGTGAAGAGTTTGGAGAAGGCAGGAGAAGTGAACAATCAAGGACAACATAGCTGGACTGGAAAGTGAGCTGAATTGGAGGATTTTTCCAAATCAGCTATTTTGACCTAGATTTTTTACTTCTCCTGCCTTCCCCAAACTCTTCACCATTTTGTGAATACACCTGTCCATTTAAAAAAATGTAGTCTGGAGTCGGGAATCTCTGGTGTAGAAATTGTATCTATAATGTATCTGCTATCATTAGAGTAAGAGCTAAGTGCTAAGAGTTACCTTATGAGACAGCAAAGCATTTGTGGTTTCCTTTAAGGTAGGCTGCTTCTCATTAAAGCTGGGACAGAGCAGTTTAGAGGTTTTGCTTTGGCCAAATTTTAGCAAAGTTTACAGCACTTTTATAAAAAGTCATAGCTATGGAAAAGTGCATTAGAGTCAATAGATAAAGGTGAAATGAAAGGTCTTTAAGCTGGTTTAAAGTGTTTTATTGTTTGTATTGTTTAAAGCTGCAATTTGTTTTAAACAATGTATAGCCAAGCCTTTTTTTTTTAGCTTATGTCCTTTTTTGGGTAAAAGGAGTAGATTTACTAATGTACTCCTGTGATCCAAAGTCAGCATCTAACGGGCTATTGCCTGCTATAAACTGACAGAGCAGAGCCGAGCTGCAGCCAGGAAAGATCCTAACAAAATTGTTGGGATCCACCCCACTGCCTGATTGACAGCTGGCAAAGCCTCTCTAGAGCCAGTGCCAGCTGTATTCACCCCCTACCCTGTCTCTCCCTCTAATGAGTACTGGAGGAGCAGAGCGTGAGGGGGAAATCCCTGCGGTGAGCGGTGCCTGACAGTGAGCTGAGCAATCAGTGGTTCCTGTAAACACTATAAACACCTGCAGCTGTGTCACATGCCAACTCTAAGTATTTGGAAGAGTATATTTTACTCTCCCAAAACTTCTCCTTTAGACATTTTAAATAAACATTGCATATTTTACTTTTTTTGTGTGTATTTTATTGTTAGTTATTAGTTTTAACATATAACAATTAAATGCACAAAAATAAATATCAGGTTGGTCGGCTGGGGAAGCGTGGGTCCTCGTGCTGTGGCCGGGACACACACTGCCTGAAGGGAAGGTGTGCTAGTGGGCCCGCTCAGACAGAGAAGTTGCTTACCTCCTGGGGGCCATAGGAGAGCGTGGAGGCGCTGATGAGGGCTACCCCTTGGAGATTAGTGGGAGTAAGGGGACCGACTGGACCGAAACCTTGTGATGAAGGGGATATCTGTCTTACTTGTATTTTTAACTGATTGGGTGGTGAGAGGCTTTGGTGGTTGCTGGATTGAAAGTAAAGGAGGAAGGAAGGGGGATTGAGCAGGATTACCGTGTGGTCTGAGCTCCCTGTCATTTACCTATTCAGCCTGGACATTAAACTGTAGAATTGTGGCCTGTGGTCAGATTTATCTAATTGGAATGAACAGTAGGTTGCTGCCAACTACCTGAACTACGCAATATACTGTGTGCTTGTAAAACTCACTGGAAGTAAGGAAAACTTGCATTTGGGGGATTTCCTTTTTTTTGTGGTGGTTTCTGAAATATGGTTACATTTGTTGGTAGACAGCAGCTTCAGGCTACACGCAAACAACAAAATGCCACATCTAAAACTAAACCTCTCAGAAATTGGACCTTAGATCCCATCCTTCTCCCTAAGAGTTACCTTCATTTAATATGATGGTGGAACAGCAGGAAGGGAAGCAAGGTGTAAACTTTGCCTTGATAACTAAACCTAGTACAAGGGAAGTTACTAAAGTGCTCCTGCACTATTGTGATACTTTACAGAAATCTATCCAATGTGTCCTTGAAACAATATCCTCTGATACAAAAAGGATTGCTGAATCAGAACAACGAGTAAGGGGCAGGAAGTGCTCATATATCTTACTACTGACCTTATGTCTGCATTGGAACTCCAGCTATATCATATTTGCAGGATTGAGAGAGCACATCGTCTTGGGCCTGAGAGGCAGAGCTCAAGTAATAGAATAAGCCAGTTATTGCAAAATATCTCCATTTTGCTGATGAAGAGATAATTCTGCAGGTGTTCCACAAAATGGGGGAACTCAGAGTGAATGGAGAAAGGGTTTTGATATACCAAGATTTTCTGGCTGCTGTCTAACAGAAAAGGAAAACTTTTGTACCGATCTGCAAAGTGCTGTCAGAGAGTAAGATACAATTCTCTCTGTTGTATCCAACTAGACTACAGAGAGAGATGAAGTTATTGGATGACCCCGCACTGGCGAAATACCATCTTAATTTGTAGGGTACAATGGACCTTGACTCTGGCTTGATACTGGGAGGTTGGTGGGTTTTAATAATAATAAATAATGCACTATTTATTAAAACATAGTAACTTACAAGTAAGTTTAAAATCAACAGCAGGCTAATAGAGTGCCCACCTGGCTTTGTCGATTTTAAACTTACTTGTAAGTTACTATGTTTTAATAAATAATTTATCTTGATATACTACACTATTGCATCCCTTTTTTCCCTTTGTGGGGTGGATTTCTCAATCGAGTGAGGCAGCTCCTTGGATTTCGGTTGGTGTATGAGGAGAAAGATGGTTATCCGACATGTAAAGTGACAGCTGAGAGGATCGGTATTGATGGAGAGCACGCTCACCAATGTGCAGTATGACCATTTGAACGCATGGTCAGAAATTTCTGGTGAGTGGTTTTATTTTCTCATTATATATCAGAGGAGATTGATCATTGAAGAAACACACTCCTTGAATATTTTAAAGGCAGCTGATTCTCAATCGTAGATTTATATAAACATTTATTTGTATTTGAGCACTGGATGATATTGATGTGTATGAACACTTGTACACCGTGTGTTTTATTGGATACTTAATAAGCCTCATAAGAGACTTGCACTGTGAACTTTACCACAAAGGACTCAAATTAATTATTTATTGGAGTTTTATTTATTTGAATTAGTTAACACTTGATTGGAATTGATTTACAAAGTATATGACTTCCTTCACAGGGGTTCATTTGTTTTTCTTTTTAGTATTTAGACACATTTGTTTGACATATTATTAAGGGCGCGATGCAATGTTTTAAGAATTTCATACTATATAGTTGGCACGGCAGCGGACTTTGCTTATTTATTTAAACTTTGACAATCATCATATTGAGATCCATTTAGCGCGGATTCGATGTTTGACTAAAATAAGTAGCATCACAGGTAAGTTGCAATTCAGTGACAATACAATACCAAATACATAGCTTTAAAAACACAAGCTACAAACCCCCCCAATGGACCCCAGATGGCAGCAGGAACCTTCAGCCTCAGTGGATATGGAAACAAAAATGGAGGTCTGATCTTGCTCATCCAGATTCCTCATAAGAATTCTCCTGATATTCTTTAGAGCCATATACAGGTGAAACTCGAATAATTAGAATATCGTGCAAAAGTAATTGCAGTAAGTGCTGCAAAAGGGGCCCAAACCAAGTACTGAGTACATATGCATGCTTGTACTTTTCAGAGGTCCGATATTGTTCTATGTACAATCCTTGTTTTATTGATTGCATGTAATAATCTACTTTTTTGAGGTTGTGGATTTGGGGTTCTTGGGGTTTTCATGAGCTGTAAGCCATAATCATCACAATTATGACAAATCACGGCTTGAACTATCTTGCTTTGCATGTAATGAGTCTCTCTCATATATTAGTTTCACCTTTTAAGTTGCATTAGTGAAATAAATGAACTTTGCACGATATTATAATTATTCGAGTTTCACCTGTATATTTAAACTTCTTATGTATATTTTCCTGATATTGTGTTATTAAGCATCCCATATCCTATTCTACACTGGGAAATCAAGAGCCCATGGTGCTAAGATGCTTGTTTAAGAGGATTCAGGAGTATTATGGAGCACGGAGACCATCTAGGTGATCCACATCATGGTCTGCCTATCATACACATAGAGGGACATCAGAGGTCTGGTTTTAAGAGAAAAACAAAGAATAAAACAAATTGTCTTAAAGGGGTTCTAAACCCTCCGTTTTTTTTGCCTATATCTACTGCTAGCATGCAGTAGATATAGGCAAGAAGTGTAAAAAAAAAAACGCTTAAAATCCTTTTAAACTTACCTCGTTATCGCCGCTCGTTCCCGCGCCGAGAATCAGGAACTGCTCGTACGGCCGCAAAGGATCTTGGGGCGGGCGCATGCGCAGTTCCGATTCTCGGCCGGGAGACGAGCAGAGACGCAAGGTAAGTCTATGGACGCGTGCACCCGCCTGCAGACACCGCTGGATCGGAGAGACAGAGCAGTCAGCGCTGGATCGGAGTGACGTCACACCGCTGGAGGGACAGATGAAAACATGGGGAAAGAAGAGGAAGATCGGAAAAAGAGACATCATTTAAGGTAAGTGCTAACATTTACATTGGGGGGAGGGAAAACATTTTTTGCCTTTAATGTCACTTTAAGTACCTTAAAAGTCTGATTTGGGTCTTATAAATCTCTTTATGTAATAGAGTGCATTAAATAAAAAAATGGCCACACCTATTTTAATATTCATATAATATAATAATTAGTTGCAAACTAATATTTGCTTTACTCACGCATGACACAGTGTGACGGTTCTGTAGTCTCGACGAGGAAAGTCTTTTTTGTCTGCTAGCTGCAGCACTTGGTTATTTACCATTATGATTCCACCAATGATGATGTCACCATTTTTAAAATACTTATAGTTTTCAAATGCAATCTTCATGTCCAGCTTACATGCAGCAGACTGTGAATTGATAGAAGATCTGCAAATTATCACACATAGGATGATAACACAGAACATGGCTTTAAAAGAACAGTGAGGACCTGTGGTGTTTAGCATTGCCATGCTGGAAAATCCAGCATCCTAATACAATGCAAAGCATCGCATATTGCAGATTAGAAATCAGTTTGTTGTTAAATTCAGACAGCACATCAATCTTGGCATCAGCAAAAGGTTAGTTAAAAGGCTTCCTCTGTCTTATGTTTCTTTTATACAGTTCAGAGTGAGAGGAATATCAGTAAACTTAGTAGAGTGACACTATTTCTGCTTTGAACAGCTGTGTCCATCCAAAAAGGTTCAGATTATTTTTTTCTGTTCATTTCCGTAATTGTTTAAGAAAATCGGAAGATAACTTCTCATGATCTTAACAAATGCTTTTTGTTTCAGCATTGACTTGTGTAAGACAATTATTAACAAACAGTATTAATAAATAATATTTATGCCATTAAATTATGTTAATAAATTGGTATATTTTACAGTATCTGGGACCTCAAACATAATTTCAGGTTCGCTTCCTCCACTTATAGGGTGATAACACTTCCTGAGCAGCTCCCTAAGCAGGACCAACAATGTCATCTTAGAATATGCGTTTTTTGCTGTGGATTTAAAACTTAATGTGTATCTATAACCTTAACTTTTTATTGTGGATAAAATAAGAAAGGGTTTGAACCCGTGTAAGGTTTAATTGGTATCCAGGGCTCTGTGAGAGTTTTCCCCTCACTTCTTGTTTTGGAGACAACGTTTCACCATGTTTTGGGGACAATATTTTACCAGATAGGAAATTAGATCAAATCTGCAACAACAATGTGGACAAGCGCCTCTTCCACACAAGTCCTTACCCGTTGGTTGTGGGGGTCTGTGGGCAGGGTGGCTTATTTGCATCGGGGTACCCCCTTTCAGAAACTCCCTTGTTAACCCCTTTCTCCCCCTTGTGAATGAGTAAGGGGTACTTGTACCCCTACTCATTCACTAAAGGGTTAAAAGTAAAAAGTAAATAAACTGACCAGACTTTAAGAAAAAATCCCTTAATTGGGAAAAAAACAAAACAAAGGTTTTTGACAATTTCTTTAATAAGAAAATAAAAGGGAGGGGGACCCTACACCATTTTCAAAAAAATTCTTCTGTTTACATTTTTTCTATTCTTCTCAGTACCTCGGAGGTAGCGATCAGAATAAACGAGCCGAATGCCATTCTGTGGCATTTGGCTATTCACTCACTGCCGTTCGACCCCTATGAGAATAGGGGTGAATGGCAGTGAAGAAACTGCCAGAGATTCTGCACAGCAGATCCAGATGTTGGATCGGCTGAGTCGAATGTGTTCTTCACTTCGGCTCAGCCGAACATGCTGAACATCAGCCGTACAGGACTGAAGTGAATAGCCGAACGGTGTTCGGCTCACTTCACATCGGCTCAATTATTCGCTCTGCTGCCTTCGGCGGCTTAGTGAATTACCTCCTAAGTGAGTTGGCAACAGGTCAGTAACATGATTGGGTATAAAAATAGCATCTTAAAGAGTCAGAGTGTCTCAAAATTAAAGATGGGCAGAGGTTCACCAATTTGCTTCTAAAAAATGTCGAACAATTTTAGAATAATGTTCCTCAATATAAAATTGTAAAGACTTTAAATATATCATCATCTACAGTACATAATATCAATAACATAACATTGGATGCCCATGTTCTTGGGGTCCTCATACAGCACTGCATTAAAAACAGGCATGATTCTGTGTATTTTGGAAGTATTGAGGAATACTTCCAAAAATCACTGTCTATGGACACAGTTCGCCGTGCCAACCAAAAATGCAAGTTAAAGCTTTATCATACAAAGAAGAAGCCAAATCTGAACATGATCCAGACAGGCCACCATCCTCTCTGGGCCAAAGCTCATTTAAAACGGTCTGTTGCAAAGTGGAAAACTGTTCTGTGGTCAGACAAATTGAATTTGACATTCTTTTTTGGCAACCATGGGTGGCGCGTCCTGCGAACTAAACAGGAGAGGGACCTTCCAGCTTGTTATCAGCATTCAGTTCAAAAACCTGCTTTATTCACAACAGAAAACATATCAAATGTTTAAACTGAGAAAATTAACCTTTTTTAAAGAAAAAAATAAAGTAAATTTTAAATTGGTGGCAGCAACATGTCTCAAAAAAGTTGGAACAGGGCCATGTTTACCACAGTGTAGCCTCCCCTCTTCTTTTAACAACACTCTGTAAACATCTGGGAACTGAGGAGACCATTGGATGGAGCTTTGGGAGAGGTACGTTGTCCCCTTCTTGCCTGATATAGGATTCCAACAGTCCCAGGTTTTCCTTGTCATATTTTTTGTTTCAAGATGCACCAAATATTTTCAATTGGTGAAAGGTGTAGACTGCAGGCAGGGCTGTTATGCACCCGGACTCTTCTACTATGAAGCCATGCATCTAGTGCAGTTTAGCATTGTCCTACTGAAATATACAAGGCCTTCCCTGAAAAAGACGTTGTCTGGATGGAAGCATATATTGCTCTAAAACCTGGATATATCTTGCAGCATTGATGGTGCAGTGCCAGATGTGCAAGCTGCCCATTCCATACTCACTAATGCACCTCAGTACCATCAGAGATATACGGGTTTATGAGATTTTCAAATCATTGCATTCTGTTTTTTTGTAGATTTTACACAGCGTCCCAACTTTTTCGGAATTGGGATTGTAAAATGTAAAAAATATATTACACAAAAATATATATTATACAAATTATGTAATGCCAGGATACAGTGTCTCTGACACTGTCCCAAAGAATCATAATGTTTTATAACATCACATATTGCTTAAAGCTATCTCTTTACCATGTCAATTTAAAGATTTGATGGTTTTATATGATACAGTGTTCAGCATGTGACAAAGGTTGTTACATTGGTGAAACTGGCCTTAAACTGCATCTCAGGATGAACCTCATGAACCAGGATGAACCTTGGAGCACATGTGGCAAAAGATAAAACAGGAGCTCGATCAAGAACCACAAAGAAAATGAATATTGCACTCCAGTAGGACATCACTTCTCCCAGAAAGATCACTCCATCCAAAACCTCAATATTAAAGTACTGAAAGGGAATTTTAAAAACTCTCATGAAAGAAAAACATTTGAAATAAAAATGATTTTACATTTCAATTAAGGAGGGACTTAATGTGGATTCTGGTTTTCTTACACACTACCAGAACTTTTTATGAACATAAATACAGAACATAATACAGAACATAATAATATTCATGTATGTGGTATATCACTGATCTGTTTAGGATTTATTGGTCATCCTATGTTTATTTGTTCTGTGTTCTAGTTATCAGGATACATTCTTCACTCCCAGGTCCAACATTTATGACACCACACTCACCTCCCCTCCCTAACAACTTTCTCTTGCTTTAAGTGGTAAACGTTGTCATGTTGATTAGTAGTGCTTCTGACCTGAAGAAGAGAGGTTAACTCTCGAAAGCTTGTCTTTTATATATTTTGTTAGTCCAAGTATCATGGCATACTACAATACTCCGTTTTGTTTTTTTATACATCTTCTCTACTGGACTAATACGGCTTACCCATTTACATTACACCATATATATATATATAGTTTTCTTTTGCATTGGCTCAGGTCCCCCGGGGCAGCACCCAGCTCCCCATGTCCCTTGTTTGACAACCCCTTGCCTATTAATCTTGAAAATGGGGAGAATTGATTTCCAAGAGCAAAAAAGGTTAAAAACAGTTTAGATACACGTCTTCTGCAGAAAATGTGAAAGCCGCACAGCCGCGCCAAGGCACCTCTAGATAGTGCCGTCCTAACTCTAAACGATGAGAGTCTCCATCTTGGAGCACATGTGGCAAAAGATAAAATTGGGTGCAGGTTTGTCAGGAGGAAGCCCAACCTCCTTAAAGGCACAGGAACGCACAAGGGACCCCGCACATCAAGATTCACCTCCCATTGACCGCAATAGGGTTTGCATTCAAATATGCAACTGGTGAATTTTTTGGCACATTTGGCAAATGCACCCACAAATAGAATCCACAAAAGTTTGTCCATTACCTGTAATAACTACTGGGTTTTTTTTTCAATAATAAAGGCTGCATATTAAAAAAAAAAGCGTTTTCCTTTCTGTTGCAAAGTGTATCAAATAAATAATATTTCTTCATAAAATTTGGGCAAATTTTGCTACAATTCATGGTAAAAAAAGTGTACATTATTTAGTCTGTGTAAAAGTTACAATGCAGCATGTCTCTGTATAATTTCTGCTTTGTGTCTCTGACATAATCCACTGTAGTTTTTATTTCTTTATAAATAATGACTGCCCTCTCCGTATTCTATTACAGCCTACTAAAAATGTTTACATGTTGCACAGCAGGTCTCTGCAATATCTCTGTCTCTTGTCTCTGCCAAAATCTGCTGTCATTTTTATTTAAGTTTTTTTAAAAACCTGCCTTGTCTCTCCCTCTTAAGCTGGCCATACACCTTACAATTATCTGCAGATTTTCTGTGGTCAGATGGAAAAGGTGCAACAGATTCCTCCATCTACACTTGGATGGAGTCATCTCCACCTGGGCCAATCTGTTGCACTTTTTCCATCTGAACACAGAAAATCTGCAGATAATTGTAAGGTGTATGGGCACCTTTACACTGCTGCCCAATCAAGCTGTTTAAATACTCTTCAGTCACTGTGCTATATGATTCACAATTTTATTAAGCTTTGTAGACAATACAATGTGGTACACCATATACTGTTTAAAGTTATCTCTGTAGCATGTAAGTTTGAAGAATTGGTGCTTTTCCCATATCTCCCTGAACAAGGTATAAAATGGGGGACAATCTCACTGCTGAATGGGACTTTGTATTTATTTATTTTTCTCTTTGTATTGGTACTGTCAGGGATCTGAACACCTCCAGGTGGTGCTAGAGCAGATCTGGCAGTTCCAGTGCTCCCCTGCAGGTGGCTCCAGGCAGCCAGTGGCCGGCAGGGACCCGAGCGCCTCCAGATGGCATTGTGACTCTGGAACCAGGTCCTGCACTTCCATGGCTCACCTGCAGGTGTCAGCAATTAGGCACCACCTGATGATGATCTGGGAGGGTATTTAATCCCTCCCTGCAGTGAGCCTGGTGCCACAGTATTGTCGCCATTACCTGCATCCTGTTTTCTGTGACCTGTTTCCTGCATCCTGGTCCCTCCTTGACCATTGGTCCGTGGCTCCCCTCGTGTTGCCTTGCTCCCCAAGTTCCCTTGCCCTGTTACCAGTTGTGCGTGATTATGTTATTTTTGCATTTTAGTTGGCTATAATTAGTTGCTTGTGGTTACTTGTTTTCAGTGTGTGGAATAAACTATATGCTCATAAGCATTGTCTGGTGTGGTCACACATTTGGTCCTCTTGTTTTGATACCTGTACGTGGTGTGGGAACACCAGTGCACTGTATCTTGCCAGGTACATGTCCCCCAGGGCAGGGGCCAGTTCTCTGTGCTTTTTGCTTTTTGCTTGCCACTCCCATGCCTTTAAACTTTGAAAATTGAGACAATTTATTTTAAAGATTCAACTCCCACTGACTGCAGTGGGATCTGCAATAAAGTATGCAACTGGTAAACTTTTTGGCGCATTTAGCAAATGCACCCACAAATTAAACCTGCAAAATGTATCCAATAAATAATCTTTGACTAAATGTATTCTGTTATAATTCATTGTTATTTTTTTCTATATAAAATTACAAAAAATGGAAATTAAAAAAGTATTAAATAATCTGTCTCCGTACATTTTGGCCAAAATGTGTTCTACTACAAGTCATTGCGCTCAGAGGTGCTGGTATGCAAGAGAAGGCGCTCATGAGGACAGAACAAAAGAGATATTTAAAAATGTCAGTCTGCACAGCTGAATGGACAGTGGTTGATTTACCATTGCTTTATACAGGTTCATACACGGATTCTGAATCCGCTGCTCTTATTAGTCATACAAATAATTGTATACACCTTCTCACTACTCAACATTGTTTGGACACTTGGGCAGCAAATAAAAAAATCATGTACCAAATGACAACACTGGCACTGGCTTGTCCTTGCTGCAATCAGGCAGTGGTAGTAGCTTTGCACTTGTACTTACTGTAATACTAACCAAGCACTGCTAGTAGTCTGGTACTGGTAGTCACTGGTACTGTCTGTAATCAGACACTGTAGTTAGGCTTGCACTGGTAATCACTGGTACTACAGTCAAGCACTGTTAGTAGGCTGGTACTGGCTGAAATGTCTATTATCGGATGCTGGTATTAGGCTGGTACTGGCTGTACTGGGTGTACTCAACAAATGGTAATAGCTAGGGATGCACCGATACTAGTATCAGTATCGGTGCTGATTCCGAGTATTTGGGCGAGTACTTGTATTCACCCAAATGCTCTGATACTTACCCCTGATACCGGAACTTCCGGTCAGAGGGAGATTTCCTCTGACGGGCAGTGCCGCAAGGGAACATGAAGCCGAGAGGCGGGAAATACAATCAGCATGGAGCCGGCAAAAACAGCATGGAGCTGACTTCCCAGGCAATCAAGAAGCCATGCAGCGTGTAATTACACACTACCCGGTTTCCTGACTGCCCAGGAAGCTGGCTCCATGCTAGCATAAGTACTGGTATCAGTACTCATTATCGGCGAGTACCGATAGATAAATATCGGTACTTGTACTCAATACCGAAAAACCAGTTTCGGTGCATCCCCGGTATTAGGCCAGTAATTGTTATATATGTAGTAATCAGGCACAGTTAGTAGGCTGGTACTGGCTGTAATAAGACACTGTAGTACCTGACTGGCTCTGTACCTTTTGCCTGTGATCCACTCTGTCCAATTACAAATTAAAGTCAAAGAATAAAAATGAAAAATTCCTTTCAATATCGTGCCTGGGGGTCCCCTTAAACTGCTTGTAAAGTGGCAAATTTGTACAGTTTTTGGACACTGGGGCAGCAAATAAAAAATCATGTACCAAATGAAAACACTGGCACTGGCTTGTTTTTGCTGCTTGTAGCTTGGCACTTGTACCTACTGTAATACTAACCAAGCACTGCTAGTAATCTGGTACTGGTACTCACTGGTATTGTCTGTAATCAGACACTGTAGTTAGGCTTGCACTGGTAATCACTGGTACTACAGTCAAGCACTGTTAGTAGGCTGGTACTGGCTGAAATGTCTATTATCGGATGCTGGTATTAGGCTGGTACTGGCTGTACTGGGTGTAATCAAGCAAATAATTTAGTACAACAAGTCAAAAGAAAAAAAAAATTTGCTTTTACCTTTTACATTATGTACAAGTGCCTTAAGCAAAGAAAATAAGAATCGACATTTTAACACTTTATGTATATGATGAATAAAAGTCATTTAATATTTTTGACATTCATAATTGCATAAAGCCTGTCAATAAAATAAATTATTTAATTAATAAATATGAATTATGTAAATACATTTTTGTGGCTTGCTTCATAAGTACATAAAAACACAAACAAATTCAATAAATTAAGTAATACAGAATGGGGTCTATTTATAATAAATAAATACAGATTCAAACATTTTTCTAATCTGATTCAATTGAAAACATGTGTGAATCTTATGTGAAAACATTTATAAATAGACCCTATATATTTTTTTCCCCACCAAATAAAACATACTTAATTAAATAAATAAAAATAAATTTATGTGTCTCCATTAAATGGAAAATAATTCCAGGCAAAAAATATTCTTAACCCTTGCAATGATCGTTTTCATCTCGTGTGTAAAATAAAAAAGATATGCTCATTCGAAAATTGGACCCATCTGGCTGCTAGAGCAGTGCCTACTGCTCTGGCTTCCCCACCGCTCCTGTGTAGTGATGGGCCGAACACCCCCGTGTTCGGTTCAAATTTGAACTTTAGAACATGGGAAACGTTTAAATTGGAACTCGAACTCAATGCAAGCCAATGGGGCTACATCTTTAAAAATCCATTGACATCATTTGAAAGCCTTATATGAAATTTATTGGCCATTAAAAGGGTACAGGGATTTGGGTACTGCCCTGGGGGACAGGTATCAATAACAATTTTTTTTTTTTAAATACAGTTTTTAAAGGAGCAGTGATTTTAACATCACTTAAAGACAAACAATAAAAACGAAAAATTACTTTCAATATCGTACCTGTGGAGTCCCCTTAAACTGCCTGTAAAGTGGCGCATCTGTACGATGTATAGAACCTGCTGCAGCAAAAATGATATTTGTAAATAAAAAATGAATTAAAAAAGAAAAAAAAAAAGCATGTAGTTCCCCCTCCTAAACAATACCAGACACTTTAGGTCTGGTAGGAATGTTAGGAGAGACCCCATTTAAAATAAAAAGCAAAAAAAAGTGTGGAGTTCTCCCTCAAAGTCATACCAAACCCTTAAGGTCTGGTAGGAATTGTAGGAGGGACCCCATATAAAAAAATAAAAAAAATGTGTGGGGGTACCCTCTCAACTTCATACCAGGCCCTTAAGGTCTGGTAGGAATGTTAAGGAGTAACCCCACCCTCCCAAAAAACGTGGGGTCCCCCCTAAAATTCCATACCAGACCCTTGATCTGAGCACAGGCCTGGCAGTGCAGTAAAGGGGGGGACGACAAGCGAGCACCCCCACTGTGATACCAGACCACATGCCCTCAGCACTGGGAGTGTGCTTTTCCGGGTCGCTTCTCCAGGTGAGCCATGATTGGGCAAAGTCATCATGACTTTGCCCAATCATGGCTCTTACAGAGTACTGGGCCCTGATTGGGCAAAGTCTGGCATCGGTCTTGGGATGTCAGCTAATGCTGGCTAAGGTCTCCTGGGCTCACCTGTCCCTCCTGGGTGCCCAGGACGTCCAAAAAGAACGCTGCACAGTCCTACCTTACATTCCCACTCACAGGAAAGTAACCACAGGCACGTCACCAGGCAGATCAATCCGCCGCACCTTGTCCATCATTGTCCCCCCTGCTCTTTATATATCCCATAGCTTCTGGCTTATGATGTGAAGGGAAGGTGGGCATTACTGGGAGGGACAATGCTACTGGGGTGTCTGTGGGACAAGATAGGATGGCAGTTGCCATGGGCAGAGAAATAATTACTGTGGCTGAAAAGTTAGAAGCTTGTGATGAGGTGAGAAAGTAAGGGGAGCTTGGGACACAGGGAGTGCTGGATGAGGGGTGACACTGAGAGTGCTAGGGTGACATAAGGAATACTGGAAGTGGGGTAACACCTGTAGGGGGCTGCAGGTAGAGGGATGGCAATAGGAGTGCTGGAAGAGGGGTAACACAAGGGAAAGGGGAGAAACAAGGAGAGGGGTGACACAGGCAGTGTGTTGCCTTTGTTGCTTTTGCTGGACTTGGTGAAGACACAAATCGGGGGACTTCAGCTGCCTTCGGGCTGCGTTGGCACATTGTGAGAAGGTTGTTTTGTGGCATTGTAGAAGACAAAATGGCTAACATTTTACAAATTCTTCCAGGAGTATGTACATTTATATGAACACCTAAAAGCCTATGGCATATACCGTAACTCTCTTCTTAATGCAACAAGTGCACACATATAATCAACATTTAAAGAAATTCCAGTCGGGGGGCGTGGCCTGGACACGAGTCGCACTTAGGCTGAGCTCCGTCTGGACCCACTGCATCTGCACCCATCCGACCTGTCTCCAGCAAGCCAGCTACCACTGAACCATGGCAGGGAAGCAGAAGACCTCCACAAAGCTGCCAAAGACCCAGAAACTGCCGAGGGGAACGGATTTCCGACGCAGCTGTCCTGGGGGGGCCACCTTTACCCCGGCTGGGGCTGGTGGCCCTCTCGGAGAGAGCTCATAGTTATGACTGTTATGTTGTGTATACCTTGTTGTTCACAGGTTTTTTTTGTGTGTTTTGTATCCCTTAGCTCTCCTGCCTTTCTCTAGGTCCATTCCCACCGATCACCTGGATGTCCACGCACCTTGCTCCGCTCCATCTCCTCCATCGCTCTCCCCTGCTCTGCCGCCATGACAGATCTTAATGTAGTGTCCTACAACGTCCGGTGCCTCTGCTCCCCCCACAAACGCAGTAAGTTATGGTCTGAACTTAAGCAACTAAAGGCACATGTAATTATGCTACAAGAAACACATTTCACCACATCTTCTAGTGTCCGCCTACCCACACATTTATTCCCTCAATGGTTCCTGAGTAACTCACCTTCCTCCAAATCTAGGGGTGTCGCCATAGCGATCCACAAAAACTGTCACTTCACGGTTCTGGACCAATGCTCCGACCCTAATGGCAGATACCTGTTTGTTAAGGGCTCCATTGAAGGGATTAAGGTCACATTGGCTGTGGTTTATGCTCCGAACTCCCAACAATTGACGTTTTTTGACATGGTCCTCCCCAAACTACTCACCTTCACGGACGGTATGCTTATACTGGGGGGCGACTTCAATTTCAGCCCTGATCCTGCCCTTGACGTATCCACAGGTAAATCGTCCCACTCCTTTGCTGCCCTGAAGCATTTTCGGCGAGCGCTACAAAACCTGGCCCTCATAGACAGTTGGCGTGCGTTACATGCCTGCGACAGGGACTACAGCTTCTACTCTAATGTCCATGGCACATACTCGCGCATAGACCTGCTGTTCATTGACCAGTACCACTTAGACAATGTCCTTAGCGCAACTGTCGGCTCCATCACGCTTTCTGACCATGCAGCCATTACCCTGTCCGTTTCCCTGCCGGGGCTCCGCCCACCGGAGTGGACATGGCGCCTCAATGAGTCGCTTTTGGACGACGCCGCGATTAGCGGTGCTGTTGAAACAGCGCTCAAAGACTACTTTGACCTTAACCGTAACGGAGAAGTAGGTGAGGCCACTCTCTGGGAAGGTCACAAGGCAGTCATTCGAGGTGTTCTCATCTCCCACGGGGCCCGTCTCAAGAGAGCCCGGCAGAGGGAATTAACTGATCTTTTGGATAGGTTGAGAGTGGCGGAACTGTCCCATAAACGCTCTGGCTTGTCTGCAGACAAAGACACATTGTATGCGCTGAGAACTGACCTAACCTCTCTCCTTGACCAACGCCTGACGCAACGATTGCGATATGTCTCCTTCCGCTTTTACGAACACGGTAATAAGTGCGGTAGACTTTTGGCTAATGCACTGCGGAAGCGTAGAGCTCAGACACACGTTCACAAGATACATACAAGGACATGGGAGGAGGTTCTCAGTACATCCAAAATAGCTGAAGCTTTCCGCTCCTACTATGCGGATCTCTACGACTTGTCCTCTACTACTCCACCTATAACAGACGATCTACGCCGCACCCGTATTCGTGACTACCTGGCCGCAGCAGGGGGCCCCGTTGTCTCCTCGGGGATAGCTGAGACGCTGGATAGGCCCATCACCTCGTTAGAGCTTGAAGGGGTGATTAAGTCCTTACCAGGGAACAAGAGCCCTGGCCCCGACGGGTACACGAAGGCCTACTATGATAAATTTCTCCCACTCTTTAGCCCTCATTTTTGTAGTTACCTTAATACATTAGCCCACGGGGGATCTATCCACCGCGAAACGCTAATGGCCCACGTCTCGGTCATCCCCAAGGATGGGAAGGACCCCACGCAACCCCAAAGCTATCGCCCCATCTCCCTGATTAATGTGGACGTCAAGATCTTTTGTAAGATACTGGCAAACAGACTGAGTCCTCTCCTGCCGACCCTGGTTCACCCTGATCAAACTGGCTTTATACCCCAACAGGAGGCAAGAGACAATGCCCTTAGAGCGACACACATTCTACACTGGGCCCGCTCTATGTCTCCCCCTCTCTCCTGCTTGTTTCTTTCTCCCGACGCAGAAAAGGCGTTTGATAGGGTGGACTGGGTGTTCCTGGAAGAGGTACTGCGCAGTTGTGGACTGGGTACTACACTGCGGTCCTGGATCTCTTCCCTATACGCGTCTCCCGAAGCAAGAGTGAGGGTGAATGGCGCCCTGTCCTCCCCATTCCCGGTTAGGAATGGGACCAGGCAGGGATGCCCACTCTCGCCCCTACTTTTCGCCCTCACCCTTGAGCCCCTTCTGAGAAGGATCTGCTCTGACCCGGATATTCATGGGGTCACTGTGGGCTCAACGGAGCATAAACTTGCGGCATACGCTGATGATGTCCTATTGTTCGTCACACAGCCTCTTATTTCCCTGCCTAACATACTTAAAGAGATCGATACTTATGGTGCCCTTTCCAACTTTAAAATTAATTTCTCAAAATCTGAAATCCTCCCGGTAACTGTCCCGGCCCCCCAAATACTTAGCCTTCAGAAAGCTTTTCCCTTCGTATGGGCTCACATGTGTATCAAATACTTGGGTATCCACCTGCCTCATACGCCGGACCGACTATATTCCCTAAATTATCCCCCGCTCCTTAAACAAGTAGAGTCAGACCTCAAATCCTGGGACAGAGATGCATTCTCCTGGATAGGGCGGGTAAACATATTGAAGATGTTGATTCTGCCTAGATTGCTTTTCCTTTTTCAGATGCTCCCCATAGCGGCCCCCCACCTGTTTTTTAGCCGTCTCCGTAGTCTTCTTTTAGACTTCGTGTGGCGGAAGAAGAAACCCAGAATTGCGTTCTCCATTCTACGGAGAGCGAAAGCGTCGGGTGGATTGGGCCTCCCGGATCTGCACCTTTACTATACGGCTGCAGTTCTTTAGAGAGTCCTTGACTGGCACTTTCGGGTGGGGGACAAGCTGTGGGTGGCACTGGAGAAAAGTATGACAGGTCGGAACCTGGCCCATGCACCATGGCTTCCACCGGAATTCAGGGGCCTAGCCCCCACCACTTCCCCGCTCACTTCCCACACACTACGGTTCTGGGACCGCATGAACAAACAGGGCCGACTGGCACCTGCTTTATCCCCCTTAGCCCCAATTGGTGGGTTTCCATGGTTTCCCCCGGGTGAACACCTGCAATCCCTTGGCAGATGGGTAGATGATGGACGGATAAACCTTTCCAAATTCCTGACAGGGACCTCGTTACTGTCCCTTGGGGAGATGCGTCGGAACTGGGGGTCGTATCCATTCGACTTTTGGAGACACAGACAACTTTCACACTTTGTTTGCTCTCAGGAGTCCCGGGTGCGACCCCACGACTCTCTCACTCCATTCAAGCAATTATGCGACGCCGGGGAGCCACCCCCCAGGTCCCTCTCCCTGCTCTATAAACTCCTGTTGCAGCAGGACTCCCTTGGACCACTTAACTACTTGGCAGACAGGGAGGGGGACATGGGGGTAAGGTTCTCGGAGGCAGAATCTACCAACGTCCTTAAATATACCCACTCCTCCTCCATAGACTCGAAAGTCCAAGAAACAAATTACAAACTCCTCACCCGGTGGTACCGTGTCCCCCAAAGCCTACACCGTATCTACCCCTCAGTATCCCCACTTTGTTGGCGCAACTGTGGAATGATAGGTACCCATTTACACATCTGGTGGGACTGCCCTGCAATTCAACCTTTCTGGCGACAGATTCAGGCTGAAATCAAAACCCTCCTCGACATAGACATACCTCTTACACCAGCCCCTTTCCTACTTCATTCTGTACCCAACACCATGTCTAAATATAAATCTAGCCTTCTCCCTCACCTCCTCAGCGCGGCCAAACACTTGATCCCGCGCTACTGGAAGAAGACCGCCGTCCCCACAATGGAGGAGTGGAGCGGACAGGTATCGGGAATTCAGATCTCTGAGGAATGGCTAGCCCAACGCAAGGACAGATATGATAAGTACTATTCCACGTGGGCCACATGGATTCATCGCCATCCATCTTAGTTATATAGTTATATAGTTATTCAGGAACAGGGTGTCAATACGGGTTGACTGTCTCTTTGCACTTCTCTCCCTCATCCTCCCCAGACCAGTTAGCGTAGGAGAGGACGATGAATGCTCTCTGGGACCACCAGTTGGCCCCATTATCATTGGAGTAGCTGCCCGTGGATGGACAGTAGCTGATCAGGGATACCCCCCCTTTTTTTTTTTACTTCCCCTTCTCTCCCTTTCCCCCATATTTCTAGCCACTGCCTTTCTCCCTTTTCTCTTCTTATACCCCCCTTCCCCACTCCGGACCTCGACACCTGGTTATTATTGAATGGAGATTACTGTGTAAACGCATTTTGCTCAATGATGCCTGCTCGCAAGGCCAAGTGGCAACTAGCTATACCAAATCCGGAAATAGTTTTTCCTTATGATTTTGTCATTTAACATCTCCTTCTTTGTTTTTTCATATGTGTTTCCTCGTTTTGTTTTCTTTTTGTTTTATATTATGAAAACCAATAAAAAAGAATACTTAAAGAAATTCCAGTCAATATGTGTGGCTTCTAAGGAACTGTTTATTGATAATATTTTTTTATCATGAAACTCTTTTACTTAAAAACAGCTTTAATGCCGCCAAACAACATAACAAGCTGCTAACCCCAATTCCCAAAACATTTTGTTACCCATAATAATAAACAGAAATGATGATTAGCATCTAGGGACCCTGGCCATATCCCAATTATTATCAAGTTTTTTAAGGTCTTGGGTGGAGAACCCAGCAAGAGGGGGATGTGTCAACAGGAACTTTTAGGGGGTTATTCACAAAGCTGCTTTGGCTGATTCTTCGGCTGGCTTCGACCCCTTTGGTTCAGTAAAGCCCGTACAGCTCCCGAAGCTGGCAGGGCGGCTCATTCGAGCCGAAGGCATATGCCTCGGCTCAGCCGAGGTGAAAGCTGAAGCTGGCTCTGGCCACTTGCTGAGACAGATCAGCGTCCCCTGGTTACCTGGTAACCAGGGACGCTAATCTGTCAATACCAGGCATCCCAACACTCCGGGAGTCTCCCGCTATTAGATAGCGGCTCCCGGGAGAGAAACACTTTCTCCCGGAAAGGTTTACTCTGCTCAATTTAGCAGAGTAAACCTTCCCCTGCTTTGTTTTGTTTTTTTCTGACATCAGAGCCGACGGCTGCCGTCAGTCAGAAAAAAAAAACAGCCTGGGAATGCA